TATATATATATATATATATATATATATGTATGTGTGTGTGTGTGTGTGTATTCTTAAACAGTAATTTGACATCATTCAATCACACATTATTCATTACACGTAAATTCAAAATTTTTGCTTATTTTTTAACCATACATTTTCTATCAATATACTATTCAAAAATTCATTTTATCCCTCAGAATGAGGATCAAACAAGGGCTAAACTTCTCAAATCGACTTCTATGAAAGAAAAAATCAAAGAAAATGAAGGGAAATAAGAGAAAACAGATAATCAGAGATTTATAAATTAAATAAAAATAGAATTGTTGCTCATATTCATCCATCATGAAGAAAAGTACGTTTGATTTTTAGATTAACTGGTATCAATTCACCGTATTTCAAACTCCGCATAAATAGATTGAAAGAGAAACAGTTAGAACACTAAAAGAAATTGACGAAGAAAAATTAAATGAAAGTACAAAAATGTTTGAATAGTGCCAATGTAACTGAGGTCGATTTGATTTTTCAACTATATTACTACTTAGTCATTAAACTTAAAAATGTAACTCAAAAGTCATAGAATTTCGCCAAGTGTTACTACTTCATAATCGAACTTTAAAATGTATCTCAATGATCACCGAACTTTGCAGAGTATTACTGTAATGCCCCGAAAATTTTAGAATAAAATTTATTTATTTTATATATTATATATTTACATTTTGAAAGTTGAAGACTAAAATGAATATGTTTTAAATTCCTATTTTATTTGTTTCGAATAATTAGATATTGATAGAGCGAGATTTAGTATATCGATATTGGACTCTTTTCAAAGCTTGTAATTAATTAGAAGTCTTAGACTTGAGAAAAAAATATTTGGATAAGATTTCGTCAAGTTAGAACCAAATAAAGGAAAACAATGATAAATAGAATTTTAATTTAATTAATAATCCTTAGTCAATCCCTTTCTTAATGTAACGTGTTTAATTTGATAATGGGAAATTCTAATCCTACTTTGGTTTAAACTCCACTTACAGTTATTTAATTGAATTAGAATGGTGTATCTTAGTTGATTAGGATAACATCTATAAATCCTCCCCGATTACGGACATTCGACAAACAATTTTTGTAGCCTTAAATCAATACTCAAATCCGCCCTTCAAGCCAATTCTTTATCAGATGCCAAAACAATTCTTTTGCCAATTTATCTTTGAAAATATTTTTGAAATCAAAATATTACCCACTCACTGAACGCAAGAGTAGAGAGATTTAGGCAAAGTTTCGGAACATGTATTTACAATTCTTTTCAAAATTTTGTTTCATCTATCGAGGTAAGATACATACGTGCAAGTTGTTTTCGTTTCTATATGTTTTTACATGCAATTAAATATACATGGATTGCTAGTGGACATTCAGGTTCTATATAAAGAGAAATGAAATCCTTCGAGATATAAGAGGACCTAAGATGGATGTGTCGCTTGGTCATCAATATACTCCATAAGAGCAGAGCGATATGAAACGTAGATTTTCTTGTTATATATCTGTATATGAAAACTGCACGTATCTTACTGGGTATTTTCGAATACTCACTCTTACAAATTTTTACAGGTTAGTTCGAGTCAATTGGAATTGTGGAAGGACGGTGATACAAGCTGTCAAGTGAATCAAATGAAAAGAAAAATAAATGAGTTTGCCGTCTTTAAATTTACCAATTTGTTTAATTTTGTTCCAAACATGTTATTTGAATTAGTTAAGAGTTTATGTTATGTTTAGATAAAATTTTCATGTTTTAAATTTAGATTTATAAATGTTGCAGTTATTTGTTTAATAAAAAATTTTATTTTTATAGTTCTGAGCTTAAAATAAACAAAAATGAGTTTTTCGTAACGCTCCAAAGTTTTATAGAAAATTGAGACGTTACAGCTTGGTATCAGAGCACGATTTTACTTTCCTGTAAACTTGTTTTTGAAAGGCAAAAAAAAAGACAGATTTAAAAAACAAAAGGAAAAGAAAATTGTTCACGTGGTGTATATATAATTATTATTTTTACCGATTTTCTTTTCATTTTTTTGTGTGAAAGGATTGATATTACTAATTGTTTTAAATAGTTGAATAGTAGTTTTAAATTGAATTCAAATTGATTTTAAATAATAATATTTTGGATGGTTTTTGAATTGATGATATTTTATACTAAATTGTAGTTGTGTTATTGCCCATATTTTAAACTAAGCATATTTACACATGTTTAGCTCTATTTTTGAGTAATGCATGAAGAAGAAGAAGATGTGGATAATAAAAGAAATATATATAATATCCTTATGAGATTTATGAGTTAAATGACTATTTTGTAAAGTTTTAACACATGTTGATCAGTTGATGCAATGATATAAAAAAATTCTTGGCATGCGATGCTCACCATTCCGACCACTCTCCGGTGGACCTAAGGTATGAAACGAAATTTCATTCTTTTAGCATGATTATTATTTTTCTTGCTTTAGTTATGAAGTATGTGAAAGTGAAGTATCCAAAACATTTCGACTAATTGAGGTAATTTTGAGGACGAAATTCTTTTAAGGAGGGGAGATTGTATTCCCCGAGAATTTTAGAATAAAATTTATTTATTTTGTATATTATATATTTATATTTTGAAAATTGAAGACGAAAATGAAATAGGTTTTAAATTCCTATTTTATTTGTTTCGAATAATTAGATATTGATAGAGTGAGATTTAGTATATTGATATTGGACTCTTTTTAAAGTTTGTAATTAATTAGAAGTCTTAGACTTGAGAAAAAATTATTTTGGATAAGATTACGTCAAGTTAGAATCAAATAAAGGAACAATGATAAATAGAATTTTAATTTAATTAATAATCCTTAGTCAATCCCTCTCTTATTGTAACGTGTTTAATTTGATAATGGGAAATTGTAATCCTACTTTGATTTAAACTCCACTTACAGTTATTTAATTGAATTAGAATGGTGTATCTTAGGTGATTAGGATAACATCTATAAATCCTCCTTGATTACGGACATTCGACAGACAATTTTTGTAGCCTTAAATCAATACCCAAATCTGCCCATCAAGCCCATTCTTTATTGGATGCCAAAACAATTCTTTTTGCCAATTCATCTTTGAAAATATTTTTAAAATTAAAATACTACCCACCTACTGAACGCAAGAGCAGAGAGATTTAGGGAAAGTTTCGGAACGTGCATTCACAATTCTTTTCAAAAATTTGTTTCATCTATCGAGGTAAGATATATATGTGCAAGTTGTTTTCGTTTCTATATGCAATTAAATATGAATGGATTGCTAGTGGACTTCGGGTTCTATATAAAGAGAAATGAAATCTTACAAGATATAAGAGGACCTAAAATGGGTGTTTCGCTTGATCACCGATATACTCCATAAGAGCAAAGCGGTATAAAATGTAGATTTTCTTGTTATATATATGTATATGGAAACTGCATGTATCTTACTGGGTGTTTTCGAATACTCACTCTTACAAATTTTTACACGTTAATTCAGGTCGATTGGAATTGTGGAAGGACGATGATGCGAGCTGCCAAGTGGATCAAATGAAAAGAAAAATAAATGAGTTTGCCGTCTCTAAATTTACCAATTAGTTTAATTTTGTTACAAACGTGTTATTTGAATTAGTTAAGAGTTTATGTTATGTTTAGATAAAATTTTCATATTTTAAATTTAGATTTATAAATATTGCAGTTATTTGTTTAATAAAAAATTTTATTTTTATAGTTCTGCACTTAAAATAAAGAAAAAATGAGTTTTTTTGTAAAGTTCCGGAGTTTATAGAAAATTGGGGCGTTATAATTACCCATCCGTCAATCGAGCTGACGCAGTTTGTTGGAGTTGATGGATGGATAACACGGTGTAAAATTCGGTGACCATTGAGATACATTTTAAAGTTCGATTATGAAGTAGTAACACTTGACGAAGTTCAGTGACCATTGAGTTACATTTTTAAATTCAGTGACTGAGTAGTAACATAGGGCAAAGTTCAGTGACCATTCATATAATTAACCTTACAAATTAATTAGTTTATCCTACCTAATTTCAAACCCTAAATTATTTCTCTCTCTCTCTCTCTCTCTCTCTCTCTCTATCCATTCTCACCTCTCACTCTCTGTCTCTTTCTCCGCCACCAACCGATTTGAGATCGTCGAAGTGAAACCACACTAAGCTGTCGGAGTGAAGTGGTGTTGCCGTCTACGACCCATCACCCCTCTCTAATCAAATGCGCAGCTCTCCTCCCTCTCCAGTATCTATATTTACCTGCTCCGATTGTATCTGTCAATTGTTGGAGATCCAATTCTCTCACCCTCTCTCTCCACCGCCAAGTGATCTGAGAGTTTCGGAATGAGACCACTCGAAGCGGTCGAAGTTAAGGGATGTCGCTGTCGCTGTCG